CCCGTGTCCCGATCCTGCTGTCCCAGTGTCCCAGGCCCGGTGTGCCGCTGTCCCAGTGCCGATGTCCCGATCTTGGTGCTCTGCTGTTCCTGTCCTCCTGTCCCAGTCCCCGTGTCCCGATCCCGCTGTCCCAGTGTCCCAGTCTCCGTGTCCTGGCGTCCCGGTCAGGGCAGCAGCAGCGCCCGCAGCAGGCTTGGGAAGTTAGGGGTGCCCCAGCCGGTGACAGGGTCCCAGGCAGGGCCAGCGCAGAAGCCCTGGCCCTGCACAGTGCCGTCCAGGCAAGACAGGTGGCAGCCCTGGGTGACCTGCAGGGATCAGCCTCAGTGCGGGGGCACAGGGACTCCAGGAAATCCAGCATGGGGACCCCCACAACACTCCCCATGGCACAGGCCCCCCCTCCCTAGGGTCTTCTCAAGGGACAGCACCCCCCAAACAGCCACAGCCACACGAGGGGACCTGCCCCACGAAGCTCAAGGGAGGCCCACAGGGACCCTCCGCAGACACCCCTCCCGAGGGAAGGTCATAGGGACGCTCCTGTGCCCCAGCAGGGCACTGCTGGCCATGCCCCAAGCACGGCTCTGGGAGAAAGAGGCCCAGGACAGACCCCCAGCCCCCAGGACAGTCCCTTGGGGCACCCATGGCACCCCAGCCCCCAGGATGGTGTGCCCAGCCCAGCCCCTCAGGATGCCCATGGCCCCCAGCCTGTCCCTCTGCCCCGCTCACATCGTAGAAGGCAGCACCGAGGCCCCGCTCCTGCAGCTGGTAGAGCGCGGGGTTGAGGAAGCCGAGGGGCGCCAGGCCCCGCTGCAGCCGCCGGTCGTTGATCAGCGCCACCATGCCCGCCACCACCGGCGTGGACGCCTGCGGGGACACCACGCTCAGCCCGCAGTCCCCGGCACGCAGGGCAGCGGGGGACGGGCCCTTACCGAGGTCCCCGACACCCAGGGCAGCGGGATGCGGTTTGTCACCACCCAGTAGTTGTCAGAGAGGGCGGCCAGGTCGGGGTACGCGCGGCCACTGCTGTTGTAGTACGAGCTGGGCGGCAGCTTCGAGGCTGAGTGCAGGAAACGCCCGACGGCAGCAGCCTGGGGACAGCACGGCCTGTCAGCACCCAACCACGGCCTTCATCACCCACCATGGCTTGTCAGCACCCAAACATGGCCTTCGTCCCCCACCACAACCTTCATCCCCCACCACGGCCTTCATCCCCCACCACGGCCTTCATCCCCCACCACGGCCCACTGTCACCCACACCACGGCCCACTGTCACCACACTATGGCCTGTAGTTACCCTCAAGTCCATTATCCCCCACCAGGCCCCCCACAGCCCCAGGCAGCCCAGCAGTGCAGGTGACCCTCACCTGGTACCCAGGCATGGGGAAGATGTTGCTGAAGCCGCCCCCACTGATGTAATCCGTCACCTCCTCCGTCACCAGGAAGGGGTTCTTGAAGGATGTGCCGCCCACAGTGGTGACATAGGGGCTAGGGGGACAGGAGGGCACTGCGGGTGGGCACATGGCTGCCTGGGCCTCAGCAGCCCCCCACAGCTCCCTCGCCACCACAGCCTTGCCCTGCAAACCCAATACCACCCCCAAGAGCTGCACAGGCCCCAGAACTGGGGTCTGCGAGTGTCCCCAGGCCCTGGTGGGGACTCTCAGGTGATCCCCGGGGGGCTTAGACCCCACAGGGACTGAGGCCAGCAGTGCCCCCACACCTGGCTCCCTCCCTCACCCACCTGGAGGCTGGGAAGCTGGGCCGGAACGTGTGGTTCCCACTGTGCACCCGCCGGCACCCGGCACCGTCGTCACCTGCCGACACACAGACAGAGAGGGGACAGGTGAGGGGCGCCCCAGCAGCCCCTCAGCCTGGGGTCCCCAGAGGGACTCCTGCAGCCACACTTGGCACTAAGGCCGTGCCGGGCCCGGCCGCACCTGAGGCGAACAGGACAGTGAGGCCGCGCGCCGCCGCCTTCATGAACTCGGCGTTGACGCGCTCCATGTAGGCGAGGGACAGGCTGTCCTCGTCATCCCCGTAGCTCACCGAGTGCACCCACGGCACCGCTGACATGTTGCTGAGCAGCAGCAGCCAGGCCAGGAAGGGCTCCTGGCTCTCATGCCTTCCTGTGGGGACAGCGGGGCAGGGACACAGGGACACCAGGGGTGGGGGACAGCGCAGGGGGCCCTGTCTCAGCAGCACCACCAGCACTGGGGGCTGAAGAAGCCCCCCAGCTCCTGCCTACGGGGCACAGAGTCACAGCACGGCCAGCCTGGAGCTCCGTGAGCTCATCCTGGGGCCAGTCATGGTGGATGGCACCAGGCTCCAGCTTGGCCCACGGGGATGGCAGGAGGGTCGCCCTGAACCCCAGGGCAAGGGGCTAACACACCTCTCTCTCCAAGCTTCTGCCACAGGGCTGCAGCCACCTAGGCAGCTCTGGATCCAGCAGGGCCTCAGCCCCTCCCGTGGCAGTGTGTCCCAGCGCAGTGACGCACATGCCACCTCCACGCATTCCACCTGCTCCTGCCCAGGTCCCTCCCTGCCCCCCAGTCCTCTCCATTGGGAGGGGAGCAGAGGCCCAGCCACCCTCGCTCACTCTCAGTCACTCACTTCACTGTCCCCACGCTCTTCCCACAGCAGTAATTGTGTGGGGGCAACGGGAGGGACAGTGCCAGGCTGCTGTCACTGTCGGGAACAGGGACAGTGTCCCTGGGGCACTCGCCTCCTGCTCAGCCAGTTCTCAATCTGGGACAGGGACACTGCCCCCAGCACTGTGCCCTGTTTGTGTTTGTGCAGCCTGTTTGGCAATTTGTTTTCGCAAATTCCCCTCACTCTCCCTGCTCCACTGGGAGACTCATGGGCAAGAGCTCAGCTCCAGCCCCAGCGAGGCCAGAAAATGCCGTGGCTGTGCCCTCCTCCACAGGAGCGAAGTGGGACAGTTGCTCCACATGGTGCTGGCGAGGAAACCTCTGCTCTGGGATACTCTAGATGCTGAAGGTTCACACAGTTCAAAGCCACTACACAAATCAAGGGTGATTCCCCTACGAGCTGGGAATCCAGTGTCAGCTCTGACTTGGTGGGGGAGCTTGGAAGGCACCTGGGGCTGTACTGCAGCCAGGTGTGCCTGCACAGCCCTGCAAGCTCTTCCCTCATCCCTCAGGGTTCTCTCTTCACCCCTCTGGGTGCTCCCCCCACCCCTTGGGGCTCTCCTCTTGCCCCTCCAGGCATTCCCCTGCCCCTCCAGGTGTTCCCCCACCCCTCAGGGCTCCCCCCCGGTACCTGCATTGCTAAAGACCCAGGTGGAGATATTGGCACCCGTGCTCATGATGTACTCCACATCCAGGCTGGCCTCCAGCCCGGCCTTGCCATGGCCCTGGTGCCCCACTACCCGGTCCACTTGCGTGCGGTGGGCAAAGCTGCTGCCGAAGAGCTGCATGAACTCAGCCAGGTCGGCCTGGTGGAAGTACTGCTCCAGGAACTGCAAAATATGAAGGGGCAGACTGTTTTGTCTTGAAAAAATAAGGTAAGATTTTGATCCTGACTTCAAAAGTTGCCCAGCACAGGTCTGTGCTACACCAGGTACTCCCAGCAACCACCGAGGGACCTTCAGCTGTCTCATGACCCCCAGAGCAGCACCAATCCACGGGACTGCCCCAGCCCACAGACCTCCACTCTGGGCAGCTCTGTTACCTGTGCACAGGCCTGGCTGTTGTTGGGCAGGAGCCCCACGTCCCCCCCTGTCATGTTGTATCTCTGGCGCAGGATGGCCGGCGTCACACCCAGGTGGAACGACGCTCCCGCTGACCCCACGTCCTTCCTGGCCTCGGCTCTGCTGACCGTGTGCTCCACAGGGAACCGGTGCATCCCACCCACTGCGGCACAGCCCAGTGGGACCGGAGGGACCGTCAGGGCACAGAGCCCCAGGAGGGCAGGACATGGCCCCTGGGCTCCCCCATCACCTTCCATGACCCCTGGGCTCCCCCTTCACCATCCCCGTGTCCACATGGGCTGGCCAGCAGCAGGGCTCGGGAAGCCCAGCTCTGCAGCCCCAGCCCTGAGGAGCCTCCTCACGTGGGCTCCAGTGCCCATCCCACACAGGGTGCTGTGGGGAGGCTGAGGGGGCTCCTGGGGGCTGGGACTGCACCACAGCCTCATCTCCCACAAGTGGAACATACCAAAGTCCAGGTGCTCCGCCAGCTCCGGGGGGACAGTGTAGGGCAGTGGGGACCGCACCAGGCTGCGCTGGCCATGCACATACCGGTGGAACTCAGCCCCAGGGAGCAGGAGCTCAGCCATACTGCAACACAGGGACAGTCACCACGGGATGGGACACGTCTGGTACACAGGCCCAGCCACCACGGGACCACCAGAGCAGGTCCAAGCCCTCGGGGCTCACCTCGCAGGCAGGTGACACTCCAGGAAGTCGAGGGTGGTGACAGTCCGGCAGTCCTCCACTCCATGGTCTTGCAGCCACTTCAGCACTGTCATCAGCGTGGCTGGGGATGGCTGCACCAAGTCCCGCACCTGCTCCAGGGACAGGTACTGCCCTGGGAGGCACAGAGGGCTCAGACCCCCACACAGGCCTGGGGGACCCGGGGGGCTCGGGC